TGTGCCCTAAGTGCGTCCGGAGAGGGCAAAGAGCCCTGTCGTAACTCATTGAAATAGGCCGCTAAAAAGGGCGCCAATAGGGCTGAGAATTTTTTATAATAGAGACCGGAGAAGCCGTCGGGACCTGGGGCTGCAGTGGACCGTAAAGATTTGATCGCTTGGAGCACTTCCGGTACGGTGACACCAGCGTTGAGAGGGCCGCCTGTGCTGCCTCGGTTAATCCGGGAAGATGGAGGTCTTGAAAGAATGCCTCTGCCTGCGCCACAGGGAAAGGATCTGGGGCAGCATAGAGGCGCGAAAGGAGGTCCGAAAATCGGGAAATAATCTGCTGGGGATTAGAAGTACAGCCACCTGTGGAAAGTCGAAGTCGAATCGGTTTATGGGGTTTCCCCACAGAATTGAGTTTCCTGGCTAGCATGGGACCGGGCTTATTAGCGCAGGAGTAAAATTTATGTCTGGTCCAACGCAGGGCCCGTTCCACCTCCAAAGAGGCGAGGAGGTCCAATTCTGTCACCAGAGCGTCCCGAGCGCGTTTATGGGCCACGGATGGAGATGACTTCCAACGCGCATCCGCAGAGGCCAGGAGAGAATGAAGCTCCAAGAGTCGGCGTTCCCGCTCCCGCTTCCGGACCGCAGCCAGCTGTATAACATGACCCCGCATCGTGGCCTTATGCACTTCCCAAAGGGGCACTGCTGAAGAGACCGATCCCGAATTTTCCGCAAAGTATGTTCGTAAAAAGAATTCTATTTGTTGGCAGGTAGCCTGAGTGGTCAGCAAAGAGTCATTGATGTGCCAATGAAAAGGGCGCCGTTCTGACCCAGAAAGGGCAAGGAGGAGTACCAAGGGATCATGATCTGACCAGGGTGAGAGGAATAGTTATCCGCCAGACCGAGGGGAGCTGCTGGACCTGCATGAATATATGATCAATTCTACAAAACTGTCATGAGGATTGGAATAGAACGTAAAGTCGCGTTCAGTTGGATGAAGTTCCCTCCAGACGTCCGCTAGCCACGCCGTCCACAAAAGAGAGCGCATACGTTCCTCTAGCACCAAGTCATGAGAGGGGGTCGCTCCCCGTGCGTAGCGCCTATCCAATGTGGAATCCAAGGTAACATTCGACTGGGCATGCTTTTTAATGGAATAAAATCATTTTAATGGTTTTACGCTATGAAGCTTCCTCTTCTCTCCTTTCATATGGTGTTTATATATATATATATATATATATATATTTCATCCACAGAGTTGTAGAGGCTGTCAGCATTCCTGCAGACCATTGCTCCCAGAGCCACTGCTTATTAGCTGGTTTATAACATTACCAGCATGGAGCTCTGCTGAGTTCAATTCAATTTGTCCAGTGGTGCATTTGACACAATGTGGTGATGTTTTAACCAATTCAATACAGGGCACTTTTACCCCCTTCCTGCCCAGGCCAGTTTTAAGGTTTCAGCGCTCTCACACTTTGAATGACAATTGCGTGGTCATACAACATTGTACCCAAACTAAAATTTTATCATTTTCTTCACATAACTAGAGCTTTCTTTTGGTGGTATTTAATCACCGCTGGGGTTTTTATTTTTTGCTAAATTAACAAAAAAAGTTCAAAAATTTTGAAAAAAAACACACGTTTTTCTTTGTTTCTGTTATAAAAGTTTGCAAATAAATAATTGTTCTTCATAAATTTAGGCCAAGATGTATTCTGCTACATGTCTTTGGTGAAAATAACCCAAATTAGGATGTATTATTTAGTTTGTAGGAAAGTTTATAGAGTTCACAAACTATGGTATAGATCTGAATATTGCTCAATCCTGAAGTACTGACAGCCAATCTAATTTCTTGAGGTCCAAAAATGTCAGAACAGTACAGATATCCCCCAAATGACCCCTTTTTGGAAAGTAGACAGTCCGATGTGCTTCATAAGAGGCATGGCAAGTTTTTTGAAGTTGTATTTTTTTTGTCATAATTTTTCAGAAAATTAAAAAATTAAAAAAATTAGTTTCACTATTTTTTTTTTTACATACTGTCACCAGTGCAGTACAGCCTCATCATATAACTGGCATGTCGGTGATCAGGGACACTGACTGGTGACAGTATGAAAAAAAAAAAATATATATATTTTTTTTATTATTTTTTATTAATTTTTTTTTATTTTTTTTAAGATTTTTTTTTATTTTCACTATGACCAAAGTAGTACAATGTTACCATAGTAACATTGTACTACTTTGGGGAAGTGATCAGTATTTTTTTTTTTTTTTTTACACAATTTGCTTATAGCAAAGAATTACTTTGCTATAAGCAAGCATTTACCTGAATGACATCGATTCATTCAGGGTTTTTTTTTTGTGCTTAGCTGTGATTTGGCCACAGCTAATCACATGACATGTGCATGTGATTAGCTGTGACCATTCACAGCTAGACACTAGTATACAATGGATGGCATGAATGAAGCCATCCATTGTATACAACTGTCATGTGACCTGCTGTGATTGGTCACAGCAGGTCACATGGTACCAGCAACGGGGGCTGATACTCAGATCTGTCATCAGCCATGTCCGAGGTACACGGCTGGTGACAGATCGTGCCGCTGCGCGGCTCTGCAGGAGCGCAATCTGCGCATGTACAGGAGGACGCCATATGGTGTCCACCTGGAACGCTGATGACATTTGCCAGCTGCCATTCGGCCATAGGGCATGCAGCAAATGGTTAAACAACAAGAACATTTATAAAGATAAAAAGAAGGACCTATTTTTGCACATTTATTCATTGACATTTAACCACTTCCATACCGGGCACTTTTACCCCCTTCCTGCCCAGGCCAATTTTCAGGTTTTAGCGCTGTCACATTTTGAATGACAATTGCACCGTCATACAACACTGTACCCAAACTAAAATTTTTATAATTTTCTTCGCACAACTAGAGCTTTCTTTTGGTGGTATTTAATCACCGCTGGGGTTTTTATTTTTTGCTAAATTGACAGAAAAATACCAAAAATGTTGAAAAAAAAAACACGTTTTTTCTTTGTTTCTGTTATAAAAGTTTGCAAATAAATAATTGTTCTTCATAAATTTAGGCCAAGATGTATTCTGCTACATTTATTTGGTGAAAATAACCCAAATTAGTATTTATTATTTAGTCTGTAGGAAAGTTATAGAGTTCACAAACTATGGGATATATCTGAAAATTGATCAATCCTGAAGTACTGACAGCCAATCTAATTTCTTGAGGTCCAAGAATGTCAGAACAGTACAGATATCCCCCAAATGACCCCTTTTTGCAAAAGTAGACAGTCTGACGTATTTCATAACAGGTTTTTTGAAGTTGTAATTTTTTTGTCATATATTTTCAGAAAATGAAGAAATGAAAAAATAGATTTTCAATATTTTTTTTTACATACTGTCACCAGTGCAGTACAGCGTCGTCATATAACTGGTGTGGCAGTGATCAAGGACACTGACTGATGACAGTACAAAAAAAAAATTTGATACATTTTTTTTAAATTTTTTTATTATTTTTAATTTTTGTATTACTTTTTTCAAGATTTTTTTTTATATTGCAGTATGACCAAAGTAGTATAATGTTACCAAAGTAACATTGTACTACTTTGGGGAAGTGATCGGTTTTTTTTTTTTTTTTTTTACACAACTTGCTTATAGCAAAGAGTTACTTTGCTATAAGCAAGCATTTAATTGAATAAAATCGATTCATTAAGGGTTTTTTTTTTGTGATTAGCTGTGCTTTGGCCATGGCTAATCCCATGACACAGCTTGGTTGTGATTGGCCCAGCTTGTGCATGTGATCGCTGTGACCATTCACAGCTAGACACACTTGTATACAATGGATGGCATGAAAGGAAGCCATTCATTGTATACAACTGTCATGTGACCTGCTGTGATTGGTCACAGCAGGTCACATGGCACTGGCAACGGGGCCAGTACACAGATCTGTCATCGGCCGTCTCTGAGGTACACAGCCGGTGACAGATCTCGACACTGCGCGGCCCTGTGGGCATGTGCAATGCGCGTTCTGGAAAGGACGCCACATGGAGTCCACCCGGAGGTACGAGCTGTTTGCCCGGCCGCCATCTGGCTATAGGCCTGGCGACAACTGGTTTATTTATTTATTTCAGGTACTTATATAGCGCCGTCAATTTACGCAGCGCTTTACATATATATGGTACATTCACATCAGTCCCTAACCCTCAAGGGGCGTACAATCTAAGGTAGTTAAACAGTTATATTGCATGATGGACACATTGTCACTCATATATTAGTGGTTATGGATATATGATATATATTTGATGAGATTTAAGATATAATTGTTGCACTTGTTATAAAATTTTAAATTTTTTTTACATTTGTTCACATATTAGTATTTTGGCACATTAAGATTGTGGTTGGTAGATACGGTCTGCATTTTGGATGCAATATACTAGCATCCTGAGGAGAGCTTGTCTAAATATATTTGCAGTTTACAACCTATGTAGGAGGATTGGTTTCATTTCTGTGCATCACCTGAGACTAGTCACTTCACTGGATAAAGCAAACAAAAAAGATCACAATTACAAAGCTCAATGCCATGCTTTATAATTGTGCTTAATGCTTTACTTGGTTCGGTACTTCAAAGCAAGTTAAGCCCCATTCATTTCAATAAATGGGACAAAAGATAGGAGGAAGAGAGTCTTGTTGCACAACCTGTCAAAGAAATGCGACTGACCTTTCCTCCAATCAAGGAGTGCTCTGAATATTGCAGAGACTACTCTCCCTGGAACACCTAGGAACACCAAGCTATAAAACTGTAACCTGCATTTTATGAACTACACTGCAGCATCTCCCAAAGATCAGTATACACTTCCCTATGAATAGGAACCTTAATTCCCTAGTTTTACATTTTTCATTTGTAGCGTTACTGCTAGGCATTCCACAGTTTCTCCATTATAGAGAATACTTTTTTTTTTTAGATATAGATATTCAATAGCAAGTAGATATTCATAAAGAGGCTCACCTTTCGTGGTTTGGTTTGAGGGAGGAGGAGCGGGCCGGGAGAGGTAAGGTGACAGACCTGCGGACACTATTCTCCATGTCGATATGATCCATCTCACTCCTGGAACGTGGCACGGAAGGCTGGGATTTTCCTGGACATTACAGACCAGAGCCAAGAGTCAAATCATTGTATTGCCACGAACACCTAACTGATGATACCAAACCATCTTCCATAATTGTACATCTCTAACACTATATACGTTACTGATGACCAGCCCAACTAAAGGCAAATTTGTTTTCTTCAGTTTTGGTTAGAGTGGAGAGGGATTAGAACACCTATCACATTTTTATTGCGGTTTGTGCCCCCATTAGGGAGATTCACCATCTCTGGTTGTCCTGGTTATCATTATCATTGAAAGTGAAAGTAAAAGAAAACCCCAAACTTTGGATTGTCCCCAGAAAAGTAATATAGGGGAAATTGGACCTAGTCACCAATGGAGACTGGTCCCCAAGGAATTCCATAAATTTGCAGTAATTTTCTCTCGCTTTCTGTTTTGGCTACGGAACAGGAAGTTATGGTAATTCTCCCTAATAAGACGCACAGAGGTTATAACCCTCCCTTACTCTATCCAAAATCCAGATGCAGTCTACTGCATTTTTTTTTCTGCACCAAAAATGAATGGACAGTAGATTATATGGGTTCCAATGGCATAGTACACAGTGCAGTCAGTTCCAGTGTGTTCTACTGCAGGACAAAAAAAATAGAACATACTGCATTTTTCTGTACAGAACTGTACTGGAATGAGGCTAAATGCATCAAAAACGCATAAAAAAATGCATCACATGAAAAAAAACCCAGGAAGCCTTGGGGGAGAAAAAAAAAAAACCAAGAGAGGGAAAACGTGCACTGGAACACAATGAAAATGCATCAAAAACGCATCTGGAGTGAGTTGATCTGGAGTGAACTGTAAGCAACAACCCATCCGGAATGCATCCAGAGTGCATTTTTGTGGTGTGAACCTGCCCTAAAGAGAATGTGCCATTAGAGAAATAAGTAGATCACCGAGGATCTCTCATTCTCAAAATAGTGGTTGCTTGGCTGTCATGCTGGTCTTTGTCTTTATGAGTCACATACCAAGAACAAGTAAAAAACGTTAAAGGAGAAGTATAGCCAAAGCTATTTGGGCTGTACTTCTATGGATCACAGGAGCATAGTTTGTTGTGCACTCTTGTAACCAGTTTTCAGCTGACAGCGGGCTAAATTTGTTGGTTTTTTGAACTGGTCCAAGCTCTGAAAAGATCCCAACCATATGGTCGAGATCCAAGCAGGTGCCTTGACCAGCAGCTGGCTCAGTCTGCCAGTGAACTGTTGAGAGCCTGAGCCAGCCGCTCCCACCCCCTCCAAAGCCCAACACTCCAGCAAGCACTGGAGGAGCAGAGAGCCAGTGGTTAACAGTCACTGCTCTCTGCTCAATGTAGGCTCAGAACTAAGCAATCAGCAGTCTTTGATCACTCAGTTCTCAGTCTTAGAAGTGGCATGGGACCGATGCTGCATCCACCTAGGTGAGTACAATTTTTTTTTTAACGACACATACTTTTCTTTTAAGGCATTGTAAGTTTTGTTTAACTTTTATTTGCTGTATGTTTGTTACAAGATCTGTGACTCAAGACATACTGAAGCCAAACAAAGCCAGGCAAATAGTATTTCCCGAAAGATTCGATTAACAATAGCAGCCCAAATAATCTTGTTACAACAGCTATACTCTAAGGAGATTATACAGGGAACTACATATTTTTATAAAGTGTCATGTTTGCAAAACAGAGGCCCTGAGCCTGGAGAGCTTTCAGTGAGCCGTCTATAGCCAGTGCAACAAGAATCCCATACAAGCTTACTGACACTATGCAAGAATTCAAAGCTCTCCATTAGTGCTTCTAAAACTGTGTCAGAGCTTAAAATGGAATATACACCCATTGATGAGAATGTTTCCATCTTTTTTCAGAACTGTTAAATATATCAGATGAGCATGATAGCTATGGTCATTGTTTTCAAAATAAGTGATGCTTTTCTTCAGTTCATAAGCCGTTTAATTACCGAGATATAATGTGTGCCAAGTGCTTAGCTTGCAGGCGGGGTTCTGTACTTTTGGCTGGATAACAATTTCAATTTGAAACCTGCAGGATAACGCACTAAGGCAAAGTACAATAACCTACAGCAACCAATCAAAATGAATCTATCATCTGAGTTCATCAAACTAAATCCTGATTTGTTGCTATGGGTTAGTGCCTTTGCGCTGCTTTTCTGAATAAAATGTAAGAACTCTCTCCAAGTAGCAGGGGTGTCACAATCTTTGTACAAGGAGAACTTAGAAAAGTAGTACATAGTTCAGCATTTGATACAAGTCATTGGTCATACACAGCAAGTTGGATCCTTTTACGTTTTGGATCTGTATACTAGAAAGCAGCAATGTAAGTGAAAAATGTTAGTTGTCTTTACAGAAGAATGGTGCTGACTGGCAGTGACCCTTAGTGGTTATAAAATGTAGTGCAACACAATATGAGAAAGCTTTAACCATACAAATCTGGGATCTGCCTAATGACTCGTTTTTTTTCTTTTTTAATGTTAAAACTCCAGGGCTGTCATTCTTATCCTCACTATACCACTTTCTCTGCTGTTTGCACTGCCTCAAAACTAGATCGGCAATTTCGGCCTTCTGTGCTCAGAAAATATTGCATGGGAGGGGGGCCTTTTAAAGTAAAAAACAAAACTCTGGTCATTTGTGTGTCCTTTGCAGTTTCAAAGTCCTGCAAGCTGCAATTTTGGTGCATGTTTGATGTAGTAAAAAAAATGCACCAACGCGCCGCTCTACTGAAATGAATGGAAAATGCATAAAAAAACACAGCAAAATGCATCCCGTGGTTGCATTTTTGCTGTGTTTTTTTAGTCACATGTCTATTTTTTGCACCGGTAAAGTGGAAAAAATGTTATAAAAAAAGTCAAAATGAATAAGTGTTTTTATCACATTTTTGCAACAGAGCAGTGTGAATGTAGCCTAAGCAGTCCTGAAAGTGAGAATAAGGTTACAGTTTGTACGTAGATCACAGAACATGATCTGGTCATATAAACTAGGAAACAATGGAAAGCTTACCATCTTCTATATATGAATGTCGCCCATAATTTGGATAGGAATCTGAATCATCATCTAAAAATAAAAAAAGTACAGAGATAAAAAGCTATTGCTAAAGAGTTTTGACAAGAAAGAAGCACATCAGAGAAATAAAGTAATATTTTTGCCAATTATCAATCAAATAAAAGAGGTCTCTATTTGTGTAACCTGCTATGGAAGGAGGATTTTTAGAGCCAATAATATGAGAGACCTCAGCTGATCTTGGATCTCCACATTCCCCAGGAATGAACATTACTTATGTCTTATATGCATATTGACAGCACAATTCAATCATTTCAATCTCTCATCTCCAGTTAGATACTTGTAAGTCACATTAACAGTTCCGATCCATCTTTATTCTGCACCATTAAAATAAACATGGGAGCAGTACTACGTAACCAGTGCATTTAAAGGCTAAGTTCGCTTCTCAGGAAAAAATAATAAATGTACACATTTATGCAGGGAAAAAAAGTGCATTTATTATTTTCCCCCCCAGGAGTCTGCAAAGCATTGCACCCACTGTAGCGCTATCTGTACTCTGGCAGGAGCAGAGTCCCCCCTATCAGAATACAACAGAACAATGGAAGAGATCCCTGCTTCGACATTGCTTGTGTTGATGCAGAGATCTGTGAGTTTTTCATTTGTTCAACCCACTGATTGAACTAAAAAAAAAAAAACCTCACTGTGTACACCCTGCTTTACTCCAACAGGCTGCAGGTTTTCTGTTAGACAGCTGGAGGAAGTGTAAATGAACTACAAGTGCTTATCAGCTCAATGACAACTACAAGCCATGATGGCAGATGGGACTTATAGTTCATTCACAGACTCTGCAGATTTTGAATGTGACAGCGGCTGTGAGGGAGAGGAACGCATGCCCTCTGTCATGGAGGAGGAAGCTGCTGAAGCATGTTATACATTACACCCTAAATAAAGGTCTAATGTGCTCCAAAAGTTGAACATATCCTTTAAGAAGCTTCCCTGTGAGAATCCCCTCCTGAAGCTCCTATGCAAATACTGGCTACATACCTGACCCCATGTCATAGTGCTCAGGCCCGGTGACTGGTCACTCTGGTATTAAGCACTGCATAATGTTTTTCTAGACCTGTGGAATGACTGAGGCCTGGAAATTGGTAGGCCTGAGCCCAGTATAATGCCTTATCTGGCATCTCTAGGGATTAAGGCCTGGTGATTGGTTATTCAGGTATGAAGTACTGCAAAAATGTTTTATCTGGCCTCTGGAACTATTCAGGACTGCCAATTGGTCATTCAAGTACCAAGCACTGTATAATGACTTATCTGGCCTCTGGAACTATTCAGGGGTGCCAACTGGTCATTCAAGTACCAAGCACTGTATAATGACATATCTGGCTTCTGGAACTATTCAGGGCTGCCAATTGGTCATTCAAGTACCAAGCACTGTATAATGACTTATCTGGCATCTGGAACTATTCAGGGCTGCCAATTGGTCATTCAAGTACCAAGCACTGTATAATGACACTGGCCTCTGGAACTATTCAGGGGTGCCAACTGGTCATTCAAGTACTGTATAATGACATATCTGGCTTCTGGAACTATTCAGGGCTGCCAATTGGTCATTCAAGTACCAAGCACTGTATAATGACTTATCTGGCCTCTGGAACTATTCAGGGGTGCCAATTGGTCATTCAAGTACCAAGCACTGTATAATGACTTATCTGGCCTCTGGAACTATTCAGGGGTGCCAATTGGTCATTCAAGTACCAAGCACTGTCTAATGATTTATCTGGCCTCTGGAACTTTCAGGGGTGCCAACTGGTCGTTCAAGTACCAAGCGCTGTATAATGACTTATCTGGCCTCTGGAACTATTCAGGGGTGCCAATTGGTCATTCAAGCACCAAGCAATAATGACTTATCTGGCCTAACTATTCAGGGCTGCCAACTGGTCATATCAAGTACCAAGCACTGTATAATGACATATCTGGCCACTGTGATTCCATTGTAGTCCACATTTAATCTTATTAGACAATTAGAGCCAAAAGAAGAAATGTAAAATGTATTGCTCTTTGGCATGCAAAAAATCTGCAACATACCAAGGAAATTGAAGGAAACCTCAGGCTACATAGACGCAAACATAATTGTGAACATGCAGTACACTACAATCTGTTCTATAACAGTATCAGCAGTATTTGTTGTCCAGGGAGCAATCCTGGCTGTTGTAGAAATGTAGTGTTGCAATATCTGAGGTAACATTAGCAAACAAGAAATCTATTCATTATAGACTGAGCAGCTTTCCTACTTGCTACTTGCTTAATATACTGCCAAATAATAAAAAGTTTAGCTTTAGGAAATATTTTAATCTAGAAAACATGAAAACAAAAACCTAGTGCCAAAAGTTATTGAGGAATTCTTGTATGCTAGAAACATCCAGTGGAATATGGTGTTATATGGCGTGAAGGAAATGCACACTTTTATTTTAGTATTCCGTTACCTACAGCACCCAGTCACCTACCCACAATGGTCAATTTTCTAAAGCAGGGGTGTCAAAAATGGCGGCCCTCCAGCTGTTGTGAAACTACAAGTCTCATCATACCTCTGCCTTTGGGGAGTCATGCTTGTAACTGTCAATCTTGCAATGCCTCCTGGGACTTGTAGTTTGGCAACAGCTGGAGGGCCCGCCAGTTGACACCCGTGCTCTAACGCATATCAAATTGTGGTATTTGCAATACTGTATGCTATGTGATATTTTTTTTACAGACAAAAATTCCATTTTCAATTCACTAAAGGTTTATAGACCACCAGCTGTATTTACTGCAGACAGGCATACTATATAATTGACTTTTGTGATATTTCGTATTCAAAAGATTATAACACAACTTTTATTTAAAATACAGTTAGAATCTGTCTGCCTATAATGTGGGGGTTTCTTATAAGCGATTGGTTTTAATGGAGAGAGGGGAGTTGGCCATCTGTTTTTATTCTGTTTGTATATAATTTGGGCCAAAATGTTTTAGATTATGTTTTTCATTTGTGATTTTCAATAAAATGTATATGTGTTTTTACTACATAGGTGGCAATGCTGAATGATCTAGATCAGTGGTGGGCAACCTTTTTTTTTTCAACTGAGCCAAATCTCGCCAAAACCATTGATTGAAATTTATTTTGAGAGCCACATTTTTAAAACTGAAAATACATCTCCCATATAGTAATTCATCCCCATAGTAATTCATCCCCCCATATATAGTAATTCATCCCCCATAGTGTAATTCATCCCCATAGTAATTCATCCCCCCATCGTAATTCATCCCCCATAGTGTAATTCATCCCCCATCGTATTCATCCCCCATAGTAATTCAACCCCCATATAGTAATTCATCCCCCATATAGTAATTCATCCCCCATAGTAATTCATCCCCCATATAGTAATTCATCCCCCCATATAGTAATTCATCCCCCATAGCAATTCATCCCCGTATAGTATTTCATCCCTCGTATAGTATTTCATCCCCCGTATAGTATTTCATCCCCCATATAGTATTTCATCCCTCATAATAGTATTTCATCCCTCATATAGTATTTCATCCCCCATATAGTAATTCATCCCTCATATAGTATTTCATCCCTCATATAGTATTTCATCCCCCCATATAGTATTTCATCCCCCCATATAGTATTTCATCCCTCATATAGTAATTCATCCCTCATATAGTATTTCATCCCCTCATAATAGTATTTCATCCCCCATATAGTATTTCATCCCTCATATAGTATTTCATCCCCCCATATAGTATTCATCCCTCATATAGTATTTCAATATAGTATTTCATCCCTTATATAGTATTTCATCCCCCCATATAGTAATTCATCCCTCATATAGTATTTCATCCCTCATATAGTATTTCATCCCTCATATAGTAATTCATCCCTCATATAGTATTTCATCATCCCTCATATAGTATTTCATCCCTCATATAGTATTTCATCCCTCATATAGTAATTCATCATCCCTCATATAGTAATTCATCCCTCATAAAGTTTTTCATCCTCATATAGTATTTCATCCCCCCATATAGTATTTCATCCCTCATATAGTATTTCATTTGCATCCCCCCATATAGTATTTCATCCCCTCATATAGTATTTCATCCCCCCATATAGTATTTCACCCCCATATAGTATTTCATCCCCCATATAGTTTTTCATCCCCCATATAGTAATTCATCCCCCATATAGTATTTCATCCCCCATATAGTATTTCATCCCCCATATAGTAATTCATCCCTCATATAGTATTTTCATCCCTCATATAGTAATTCATCCCTCATATAGTAATTCATCCCTCAAATAGTATTTCATCCCTCATATAGTATTTCATCCCTCATATAGTATTTCAATCCCTCATATAGTAATTCATCCCTCATATAAGTATTTCATGGGCATATAGTATTTCATCCCCCATATAGTAATTCATCCCCTCATATAGTATTTCAATCCCTCATATAGTATTTCATCCCCCCATATAGTATTTCATCCCCCATATAGTATTTTCATCCCTCATAAGTAGTATTTCATCCCTCATATAGTATTTCATCCCCCACAGTACTATTCCCCCCCCCCCCTTCTAGTAAGCCAAGTCCCCCGTGTCAATTCACTTACCTTTTGCGTTCCTCTCGCTGTCTTCCCACCCCGTTCGGGTCTTCAGGGGACTGTGAGAGGAGCCTAGCTCCCCTCCCCTCACGTTCGGCACGCTGTTTGCCTACACACATCCTGACAGCCAGATGAATTTGATTTTCTACATAAGGGTATCTTGGAGTTTAACCTGGGTTTTTGGTAATATAGTAGATGTGCTACCAGTGACTCCTTCACATTTCTGCATTAATTTTTACTATGGGACTTTGAGGATTTTTTTCTTAAGTGTATTAACAGTAATGTTGGGGTTGTCAATGGAAGAAAGGACAAGATGGAGCCATTCTACGCAGATGAGATTAAACAAGACTTTGAAAGACTACATTTGTATGATATTTTGTAAAAGGGAACTGAAGTTTTTGAAGAGAAAATAACTGACATAAAAATTTTAAATAAAGTCATTGCATCTTAGTACACTGACCCTTTATGAATCACAGGCACAAAGCATAAATAGCATGTAAGGGATGTGCAATAGGGGTATAAGGGGAAAAAAATTGTGGTAGGATCTGGATGCACATCATTAGTGCCTTATCTTTATGAAAACCTCCGGCATTGATGATCAGAGATCAATAATCTGGGAAAATCAATAAAATGGCATGGACTACTTGACACTGGGTTTAGGGTGTATTCTAACATTTAGGTTCAAACGTTGTAAGATAGACTGTCTCTCATTAAACTACATCTGTATAGCAAGTACGCACTTCACTCTAACAGTGGCCTCTTTCCACCCCAAAGCACCAGCAGAGCATCTGCAGTTCATAATCAAAGTATAGCTTTCTGTATATTGGTATTTGCACACTCTAGATCCCCTAAGCCTCTTGCTTGGAACTGGCGATAAGTCATCCAGGCTCCAAGTAGAGGATAGCTGGGACAGGAAGGGTTGTACCAATTCTCCCTGGAAGCTCAAATTTTCAAGTTCTAGCAATTTAAAAAAGAAAAAAAAAAGTAACAAAGTAAACAGTGCAATTTACTGAAACACTAATCACATTGCTGCCTCACTGCAGTTCACTGCAAATAAAGCAGACAGCTGCCCTACATGTTATGACGATGCAGTGAAGTGTGAACGAGCACTAACAATTGCTGCAATTTACAGATTTGCTTTAACAAATCACGCTAACCTGTAGTTCAATTGGGCTGAATGAGGTGAAGCTCTGCTGATTCCATCATCCAATCATGTACAAACCGAAATGCTATTCTTTTGAAAAATATTTTCCTTCTAAGTGATATTTGCAAAGTAAAATTTTACCATATTCACTAAGCTCTGGGAAACATTCCCTAACAGAGTTAACAACGTATTTGTTTAGTAAATCAAGCCAAATATAGTAAAAAAATGTGCACTTTTGATTTATCACTGGCTAAAAAATGATTGCTAAATTTGGAAATGCTCACTGTAAAAAATTAAAATGTGTGTGTCAAGTATAGGCTGGGTTATTGACTAGACACAAGCATATGTCTAGAAATGCTTGTTTATTAGGATGCCAAAATATTAGATTATAGCATCATTTAATATATTCAATGGCACACTGAGCTCTTGCCATTCACAATTGTTAGCTTATATTTAAAGCCATATTTCTACCTTTTCCTGAATCCTGTGACATTCTAATAATAATTAGAAGAGGGAGACAAACTGAATTTTGTGAAATTTTCCAATCCCAGACCCTGTGCCATAAACAGGTCTGACACCTCTAAATTGGCAGAGATTAAATATTGACTGTACGCAGGATAAAACAACTGTAAAAAACTGATAATTTACTGTTAATTCACAGCAAACAAAAGCAGAAACACCACTGCATGTCCAGGCCCAAATCTGCTTCGGGTTCAAATAAGACCAAAAAAGCTGATAAAGTTATAGAAAGAGTCAAACAGTCTCAAAGCAAAGTATGTACACCATATCTGATTGTGGTCTTTCCAATTACCTTCAGAGCTAGGGCTAGGAGTAGAGACAGGAAACTGGTAGGTGGGAGTGTAAGGATTGAATTCTGCAGCAGAGAAAAGCAGCACAGAAAAGCAGAGGACATTCAGCATATCTATGGTTATTTCTAAAGTCAGCTATGTAAGTAACTTCTGGCTTACTACTGAACAACACCCAGCACACAGCTAGCTATTCCTGCACCCTGGAAGATGCAGTCTTGTCATTTATAAGGCCTATTTCAGCTGTAATATTGTTCTGAATGCTGAATTCATCTTTTAAAGGGAAACTATAGTACATTTTCTGTGAGTTATCAGAAGTTCTCATATCACTCACAGTATGCATGCTTGTTATTCCATATTTTGAACATTATATTTTATATACATATTGAAAATTATCCCTTGGGGAATGCAGCATCCCTGCCAGGGGACTGATGAACTAAGATCAAATACTACATAGAAGTTGTACTGTTACTAGTCTGGCTGATGGACTTGCACCAAGATAAAGGATGTGCAAAACAATATAGTCTTGCAACATCATTAAGAAGGAAGCATTGAATGTCACGGTTATTTATTGCTGCTTCATGTGCACGTACACTTATTTCAAATTATACATAGAAAAAGGTTTTATAAAATTAACATACAAGATACATTGATAAGATATTATGCTAGTCACATTCATAGATACAGTATGTAAAAAGTACTTTAGGAAGCCTATAGATTCCCTTTAAATGTGTTAGGGCAATATAATATAACACTGTTAAAATGGAAAAGCTCTTTTTTTACACTTGGATTAAGCAAGCAGAGTAAATGTTGCCTTATATTTCTATATATGACATCAAAACACATGTCCACTCTCAAGCCAATCTGATGATACCTTCTGTTTTAGGCTTGACCTCAGGTAGTTCAGGAAATGTGTATGTTGGGGTATAAGGGTTTTCTTCAGTAGAGTCTAACAAGAGCAGTGAAAGTTAGAGAACTGATCAAAGCTTTACATAAAAGGGAAATAAACAGTAAAGTATGACACAGAAACAGCTTACTGGAATACTTTTCTATGAAAAAAGTACTAAAAAAAATTCTAATATGGCTAAATTCTGTAGATCCGTGATATAGGGAGCAAAAAGACTGAGTGCTTCCACTGCATATTTTTTTTAATCACGATAAAAAAAAAAGAAAAAAAAAGAAAGTAGAACATTCACTGAAATCTAGCCTATCTCACTCAATAATCAGCTTAAAGTATATGCAAACCTTAAGCTTGTAAAACAAAACATTCTGTTATAAATATTTTGCCTTCCATTTCTATTTTAACCAGAGGTGATCACAAACTCTGTTCTCAGCGGTACAAGGGGCTTAGAGAGGTAGGGGTGGAGAAACAGAAGTGCATTGATATTCCCAGTGAATGGATGTGCAGGGGGCATGTCAGCACAAGTCTGACCATTGGAGGAGAGGGCAGCCAGAATACTGACCACGCTGAGATGGAAGTGCTGTCATGCGTAGTGTGGTCAGTTTGAAAAAAGAAAGCGGGGATTACCAGCTATTTCACACAAAGGAAACAGAATACTTTTTAACACAAGTACATGGTACAACATGCACATATCAGGAATATGAAATGTTGGGGTAACACTCTTTAATCATCACTTTGAAATCATTAAGGAGATAATCTTGTGAAATGCATCATGACTGATCTGTACTGAGAAAGATTTTCTGTTCTGGGTTCCTTTGCTATTTCAAACTAATTCTGGGTGCAGGCTAACTCCTCAGCCTGTCCATTATTGCTTAAAAGTCCACAAATATAAAAAATGTGGACTACTTGCCAGATGTCTTCTGCACATAAAATGATATTTTACCAGTGTTTACTCTATCTGCCTTAATTCCACCCTTTAAGTGATGTCATCTTTGCCAAGACGAGCATCTCAGAAGTTGTGGTGAAAGATAATTTTTGATCCTTTCTTCTGATGTTCTACTTATTTTTTGCCTTTTAGCATTTTTTATTCAGGAGGCAGGAACTGCAAGGTATGTAGACCCTGTATTTTTCATGTAGAGCTCACTTGAACCAATACTTAGGATTAACAACTCCAAAGAATGCACATGTAAAAACAAATCAGTAGTGGGATCTCCCACTTTCCTTTTTTGGATTCCTTTCAAGTTCTACTCTAGTTTTGTTCCATGGTTCACTATACTTGTGCATTTACAGTGGCAGTGGGGATATGGCAGAGGTAACTGCAGTACATCTGGTAGTCTGAGAAGCCAGTGGGAGAAGCAAAAAAAAAAAGAATAAAAAGAAAAGAAAAAGATAATTTTGATTCCCACCTTTTGTATCTTCCTGAAGTTCTATTTATTGTATCTCTTATTCTTCCCATTAATGTTTGTGGCTTCTAAGCATGGCCATAATGATTGGTATGAAATTTGACAAAGAGCGCTAAAAATGTGCACCAACAATACTTACAGCAAAAGTCAAAAATTATCTGTGTGTAGAAACGTACTACCTACACAATCAATGCTCAGATCTGTTGCATTGCTCACGTTTATCACACTTCAAAGATAACTAAACCCAAGAACCAAAATGTCAGCTCTCCCCATGACCCATGTAATAGAATTGAAAAAAAACAAACATGGTTGAAGTCCAGCCTTTTTTGACAATTTTGACAGGTGCCCGTTCCCACTTCCGCTACGCTTGCCTAGGCGATCAGAAGCGGAAGTTATCCCCCCCCCCCATATGTCTTCTGGGACTTGTGACAAGTCCCAGATGACTACGGGACCATTTACAAGGTGCAGCACCATTCATGCATGTGTAGTGGGCACCCAGCTGTGAAGCCACAAGCTGTCACAGCCAGGTGCCCACACTTAAGATGCCGGTGTCGGGGACAGAGGACAGCTGGTGAAAGTAAAAGCAGCTACCATTTTTGTAGCTGCTGACTTTTTTTTTTTACATCTTGACTGAAGCTCCACTTTAACTTCCCTTTGTTGCCACTTCAGAAAAAAATTGAATACACTAAAATATTCATAACTGAAAAAACAAAGGTCAGAAAATATTACTTGGCCTATTTATAGGCCTTTTAAACCCTATGTCTATTACAGTCTGATTGACTCATTTTATTTTTTTACAAAAAAAAGTTACTACAAATACTGTAAATACTGGCTTGCCGTGCTTTCTATGCAGGATATAGCAGTATAATTTACACCAACGTGGCAGTCTGTGACTTCCGAACGCACATTTATTACTGGAAGTTATTTAATTGCCTACAGATAAAGACTTCAGATTATTTATATGTGCCAGAGATTACTGCACACAACTGTGATTTATTAAGATAAGGGGAACTTCGTTTTGTAATGGCTTGGTGCCTGCAAACTGTAAGCCCATTAACTGCAAACAGGCAGAATTAAAATACCATTAAATCACTAATGAACAAAATAACTACCATGATAGTAAATACTTAAGACGTAAATTATTCCTGACATCACAAGCACACAGCTATTAAAATCAAGGATCAAGCACAGACCAGCAGACATTTCATGGACCGTCAATACAATGGACAGAGCTGCAATCATATTAATAAAATAGGAAAGCAAAAGAACTTCACAATAAACAAAGAGGGGAACACTGCAATCATTAAATACAACCAAACTTATTCCAAAGTCAAATTTCAGTAACTTGTACTAAACAATTTTTACAATTTTTACTCTAATCTACTCAAAGATTGTTTAACTTTGGATATTTACTGAAAGTGCAGGGAAGTTGTATTGTTTTTATTTTGGTCGCTGTGTCCCATTGCTGAAATTCTTATCCCTTTCTGCCATGACAATTTGTAAACGAAACTCTCTCCAAAATAACAGGAACACCCATGTTAGACATATGTCACCAGAACAGGTATCCCCATGAGCAGATGTCCCCCCACCCCCCTTGTTCTGGTGAGAACTGTAAAATTTTGGATTTGCTATCACTTTATGTCCTTGTCATTATGGTGACCATGAGAAATAGAAAATCTTCTTATCAGGGAGACAGACGGCAAAGGAAAAAACTTCCAAAAATTCTAACCTTTCTCACTCTATCACACACTAAGAAAGATTTTAGTTTGATATACAATTGTGCTCAAAAGTTTGCATACCCTGAAAGAAATTGTGAAATTTTGGCATTTATATTGAAAATTTGACTGATCATGCCAAAAAAACCCTGTCTTTTATTTAAGGATAGCGATCATTTATTATCACATAGTTGTTTGGCTCCTTTTTAAATCATAACAGAAATCACCCAAATGGCCCTGATCAAAAGTTCACATACCCTGGAATGTTTGGCCTTGGTACAGACACACAAGGTGGCACACACAGGTTAATATAGCAATTAAAGGTTAATGTCCCACATCCGTGACTTTTTAAATATCAGTTAGTGTGTGTATAAATGATTAATAGTTATTTAGCTTTCATATGGATGCACTGAGCCATGGGGAGCAGAAAAGAATTGTAAAAAGACCTACGTAACAAAGTAATAGAACTTTTATAAAGATGGAAAAAGATATACAAAGATATCCAAAGCCTTGAATATGCCAGACAGTACTGTTCAATCACTTATTAAGAAGTAGAAAGTTTGGGAATATCTTGATACCAAGGTCAGGTAGACCAAGAAAAATTGCAGCCACAACTACCAAAAGAATTGTTTGGGATACAAAGAAAAACCCACAATTACCGTCAGGAGAAATACAGGCTGCTCAGGAAAAAGACGGTGTGGTTTTTTTTTTTAAGGCGCACAATACAACTATACTTGAAGAAAAATGAGCTGTATGGTGGAGTTGAAGAAGCCTTTAGTTATTTTAATTTCAACCTGCTTCTGAATGCAGATAACTCTTTCATAAATGACAACACTGTAACAAGCAAAAGCAAATTGGATTAGCTAGATCTAGCAGTCCTTCTTGCGATTCAAACACAAGACCTTCCATTAAGTTGGCTTTGCGAAATGACATACATGTAGATTGATCAAAAGTTTAATTTCTAAATAAAGGGCCTTTTAAACACAGTAGTGAGCCCTGTCAGTCATATCAACTACTGCAGTGCTAGCTTTAATAGAGTAGTGCATGTAAATCAGAGCAGAATACATATAGTTTTGGTAGAAAGCTCTAAGCACTAGTCATTACCTCTGTTTAACTTGTGGATCTGCTTGAACATGGTCTTGTACCAGTCCTTTGATCTCTCCGTGTTCTGTAAAAGAGAATAATGTTTGTCAGTCTTTAGCAGAAATTATGTAATTAAGGAACACTTACAAATGATATATAACAAGCTATAAACAAAAGACAAATTCCCCATATACAGGATTTACTTAAAAGAGAAATTTTAATACCTGACTGTATTCCAAATCCATAAATCGTAGGATTTCATAGAATAAAAAAATGGCTTCATCTTATGCCAGAAGTACAGCACACTGTACACAAGATTTAACAGAGGACACACTTTTTCCTGGCTGGCTTTGATGTACCATACCAGCAGCATTTGCAGCCCCCATAGCAGAGCTGTTTATCCCACACAACCAAGAAAAGCGATTTTATTACTTCAACCATTAGGGTTCATGTACAAAGGCAGAAAACTCAGAAGTCAGTCATAGGCCTCATGCACACAAGAGTAAAAATCTCTACTTTTATAGGTGTCCAGCATATTTTTTTTTTATTCCTTAAAACTCAGTTCAGTGTTAGGCTATCTGGCCATGCGCATTAGGTGTTTAGATCCATATTTTAAGAGCAGTGTATTTTAAGAACAGGCAGAAAAAAAAGCCTGCCCAAACGCTGCGTTCAGTGAGAAGCCGATGAGCATAATTTATGTGCAAATGCACCTAAATGCATGCATATGCACGTATATTTTTATTCTAGTAGCTAGGATAAATAAATATTGTAGCCAATAGAATGAGTTTACACACATATACGATTTGTAAACACACATAAGTGTAAACAAAGAAAAAACAGCCTCAAGTGTACCAAAGCGACATTGGAGACATTTGGTAGTATATATTTAGCCAAATTCATATGCAAATGTTCATGAGGCCATATTAAGAATGCTTTTAGGTGCTTCCTGAGTTTCTTTGACTTGCTTCTGATATGCTTCAGTTTTCTTTTAAGCTGCTTAAAATGGTTGTAAACCTCTGACATGAAATATGAACAAAGCATATCCTTCTATACTGTGTACTAGCCTCAAGTCAAAGTACTGAATGTGATTTCTCCCTGCTGCCTTGTTCTCTACTATATGCATTGAGTCACTTCTGACAGGTTTTCCCAACTCCAAAAGATAGGAGACGGGGGGGGAGCTTTGGCACACAGCCTGTAAATGACAGCTTCAGCTCTGCATGTTTTCTGTGTGCTGTGTGGAGTGGGGTGTCCCATCCCTCCAATCAGCTCTCAGAGCTCTCCTCTCTGAGCTGTGCAGTGTTTGACTTCAGATCCCCACCCCCTGCATTCTGAAAGCTCAGACAAGCGGTGTAAATTCTGCACTTTGAACAGATGTGGAGAAGAGGACTGCAAATAAATAGGTACAACGTAAGTAGAAGGATTGGTTTTACCTCTGTGTATCACCTGAGGCTAGTCACTTCTCTGGGTATATGTAAGAGATTACAACCACTTTATGGAGCTGTTTTTGAATTCATATTGCCTTGTATGGGAAAAGAAAAGCAGTTCAGATGTGAACAATTGCACAGATACAAGTTCTTACATTTCCCTAGTCCAAAGACTTGTATATACTGTGACAGACCCAACCGGGACAGGGGCTTTTGGAGGGGTAAGAGGCTAGCCTGCAGTTCCCCCCCCCCCGAAAGCCCCTGTCCCTGTCAGGTCACATATACTGTACACAGTGCATGCACCAAAAGCCATTTTCAAGCCTCATCTCTGGATTGAGGTGGTGAATATTCAGCCATCACACAACTGGAGGAAAGAAGGTTTCTCCCCAAGATTCCAGCTTGATATACAGTCTATTTAAAATAATTCTGATCATAAGCACGAGAAAGAAAACAAAGCTGCAGTGTGTTTGGAGAAGCGGGGAAGAGCAAATTCACACAGAGATCTCCATCACTAAAATGTTAGCAGAACTTAGTTCATTATAGGATGAAGATATCAGTTTTGGGTGCACTTATTCTTTAATTCAGATGCCAGGGTCTAAAATAACATAATGGGTTGTGTATAAGCATGTGCAAATCTTTGCCTTCATGCTCCATCCAGCCCGCTGAGCTGGAAGACTGTACTGACTGGTATGTCCCTTTGATATGGTAAAACAACTATGAAACCACCACAGGAAGACAAACACATACACAAACCATTCATGTTCTATACTTTTGCTTCATAGGCTGCGCATAGATAGATCTTGTCTACAACATTGAGCTGGAAACTATCTGCCAACCCTTCAGTAAGCTTCCTATTACCCCTCAAAATGTTTATAATCCCCCAGTCTTTACAGGCGATGCTAAATTGTGAGTGGTGCTTGTAATTACCAGAACGTTTATGACCAGCAATACAACATTGATGGATGCAGAAGTTTGTCCAGCATTACTGACTTTTTCCCCTTCTTAGGATCTTTCAGCACTTTTGCAGGCAACTCAGAATTATTAATGAAAAAAAATGGGGATGGAAACAAAAGTACAGTGCACATTGCAGCACACTTTCATTTGCATGCAGCATTTGATACAGTGAAGATGGTATGTCTTGTGTCTGTTCTTTGCTTTGGATCAAAGCCAATCATTTTCCCCAGCCCTCTCCAGGTTTCAAGAAACTCTGCTGATAGCCCCAATTGTTCACCTTTTCAATTTAACTAATGCAAAAAGTTTAAGCTGGGGGGTCTCTTTCACCTTCTCATTACACAAAGCTGAATTTCAGAAATGATCTTTTTTGCACACACACACGCATTGGTCCAGCTTGGCTTGATGTAAGTATCCATATCTGGAAGGTAGCTGGGGGATGCTTAAAATCACGGTAGCAGTCTACACTACATACAGTGAGAGCCATGATCTACCAGGTGCTTCTCCAGTGGCTTTTCCTCTTCACACTGAACACAGAGAGTTCCTTGCTGGGCACCACCACCATTCAGAGACAGCCTTGCAATTTTTTCACTGATTGCAAGACATTTTCTCAATAGACAAGTTGGAAATTGTGACATCATCCATCCCTGCTCTCTACCTAGTCCAATCAGAGAGTATCTTGCATTCATTCAAAAAATATAAGGCCTCCTCTGAATGGCGAGAGTTCCAAATGAGTTGCTCTCTGCATTAAGGGTGTGAATTGGGAATCTGCTGCACTTGGAAGATCACGTATATCACAGTATATAGTGTGGACTACTACACAGAACCTTCTTGATATCAAATATTGTTACTTACACCAAGCCTAGCGGGACCAACATATGACTGGATCAAAGATATTTCCTTGAGTTTTGTTTTAAATACAAGTACTTCGATGAAAGGAAAAGCTACATTATTTCTCTAGCTGGTCCTCTAGATTGGAACCAGTATCCAATGCTGACCATAATTAATTTACTGCAGATGAGACATACAGTAGAATTTATTTTATTTTAGTAGATTTGAAATAAGAACATATAAACAAACCAGCTGACAGACACACACTGAAAAATTAAGTATATAACTTCTATGGCATAATTTGTGTAGAAATAGCAACAAATTTACATTCTAAAGAAATGCAAATCTAGAAATGAAAATAAATCTCCATAATAATGCACATACAATATACACCTATAAACTACCCACTACATTTTGTTGAAAACATAATATAGCCACTATTACAGCTAAAGTGACAGAAAGTGGGCAGCACAGTGGCTAAATGGTTAGCACTTCCGCCTGGCAGTACTAGGGTCATTGGTTCGAATCCCAGCCACGGCACCTCCTGCCTGGAGTTTGCATGTTCTTCCTGTGCCTGCATGGGTTTCCTCCGGGTACTCCGGTTTCCTCCCACACTCCAAAGACATGCTGGTAGGTTAATTGGATCCTGTCTATATTGGCCCTAGTATGTGTATGTATGAATGTGAGTTAGGGACCTTAGATTGTACGCCCCTTGAGGGTTAGGGACTGATGAGAATGTACAATATATGTATGTAAAGCGCTGCGTAAATTGACGGCGCTATATAAGTACCTGGAATAAATAAAGTAAAGTATCTGTGTTACCCATAGCAATCAAATATTACATCATGATTTTTGTAGCTTAACTGGGTCAGTGTCATTTTGGCATACTTAGTATTTACTATTAACACAACTAAATCACAGTCAATGCATTGGGTGACATCCTACCCGGAGAGGAATGCCTATGTCCTCCACTGACATATCTCCTATGTGATGAAGAAAACGGGCTTCTCTTTTTGTATTGTCCATGGCTGCTTTCTGCACAGGGGGATTACTTTCTGGACGTTTTCTCTCCGGCACAATTACTGGCTCTGTTTTCCCATTGGTAGAGCCATCCAGCACAGGATCTGTGAGCAGACACAAAGACATCTCATGACACTGGTGACATGGCATGTTCACAAACAGGACAAAATAACTATTATACTACAGAATGATCACAGTGGAAATGAAAAACATGCTGGAAAAATACATTCCAGAAGTGTTAGTGAGAGCATGTGATGGCTAAAGTGTCATTATTTCTACAGAACAATGCTTCACCTTCAGGTCAGAGAATATCAAGAAACAAAAAAAAAATCTATTATAATACAAGGACATACCACGTGGGTATTTACTTGTGTAGAAACAGAGAAACGTGACAGTAGAAAAAAGACCGAGTGGTCCATCGAGTCTGCCTGTTTTTTTCTTTTACTTTATACTTTTTTTTTTTCCCGTTAACTTTTTTGAGTAATTGTATGTTATTTGTCATACTTTTTTGAGTAATTGTATGTTATTCATTATACATAAAGGATATTTATTTTTAGGTTTAGTGACCCATGGCATACAATTAGAATTCATTTAGCCAAAGACTGTGCAATATACAAAATGGATTATGATTGGCAGTTATGGGATACTACACACTACTCAACTTTCCAAGATGAGAAAGAGGGTTATTATCTAGTAACAAAAAGTATGTGGGCAAAAGACACACCCCAGGTTACATGCAGAATATACAAAAATGATTGGTTAAGCCCAAAAGTGCTTTTTTTTACCACTACTATTCCTTTATACTAACTTTTGAAATGTACAAATGCAAAAACTTTGAAAATGTATTAAAGGTTTAGCACTGTAAAACATTTTTAAATGGTATGTACAATAGACCAAAATAAGGGAAAAAGGAGGATGAAAGAGGGACTTTTATCAAATCAATTATTTTATACATAGGCCCCACCAAATCAGGGACAGTTGGGAGCTATGGTACAACATTCCAGCTAACCAAATCTGTTTCACAGTAGCACAATTTAATAAAAAATTCAATTCAGAATTCATCATGTACTAGTTTATCTTTAGTAAAAAATAATTCTGACTGGTTACTGAACTTATGGTCATTTTATTATAGTAATTTTATGTATGCTATTTTTTGCTGCTGAAAAAAACAAAACAGTTTATCTTTTAGTTGGTGCTTAGCAAATAAACTCCCACTCAATGCATTTCATAAATAATTCTGAATCTCTACAATGAATTAGAGTCATTATTAGAAACCAAGCCTCAAAGCACAAGACTTCTGGCTCAAGCTGTTTTTTTTCTTAAATCCCTTAGTAGAATGATTCATTTATAATATCACATATTTTGGTGTTTCTTAATTATTTTTGACTTTAGAAACTCAAAAATGTCTAGAAACATGTTTCCAGGCATTAGATTCCAATCCAGCCATGCATTCATCGTATTTGGCATGACTGAGAAATCTGATATAAAGCATTTTGTCACTATTGTCATCACTGAAAGCAGAACTCAGTGAGACAAAATCAACCTAGGAATGGTATTAAGGCATGACACCCAAGTGTCTTACATGCTTAAAAAGACTTACCAACTATAGTAAAAAAACTTTATGTGCCAAAAACTTTGCTACACACTGATAGACCAAAGGCACTTACTGGTCTTCAATCGTGGACAGGAGAACCCTCCAATTTTGAGCTTATAAGTAAACATACTAGAAGCAGCAAGTTTGGATAAAGTGAACCTAGAATCAGATCTATGTTTTTACATGCGCACATGGTAAGTAATGTGTAAATGTGACATGGGTAAATATTGCTTCTGGCAGGTATCACAGTACTTCCCCTGACAACTATGCCATATTCTCTCTTTCCATAAGGAGGGCACAGTCTTTGTTAGGGCACTATTCAAGATCAACATTTACATCCTGTACAAAATAAAGCTGTCCATACATTCATAGATGTTTTTCCTGTTTTTTTCCTTTATCCAAATGAGCTTAACAAAAAAAAAATCCAGAAAAAAACCCAGATTCCTCCATCCATGCTAAACAGCCCAGATATAGCAAATCTCCCCGCTGCAGCTAAAGTGGTTTATTTACTGAAGATAAACAGAATTTGCACTTTGCAAAGTGCAATTGTAATTGGATGCAGGTACTCTTTGGACCTCAACTTTCCACCTTTTTCCTTAAAATTTTCAATTGAAGGATGTCAAGCAGGAAAGTGCCAATAGGATCACCCATGTAGTGAATCTCATCCAGTTCATCAGGAACCAGCTGAAATCATCGCTGTGTATAACCAGATTAAGAAGCTGGCCCAGAAATAGAACAACCATGTACATCCTGGGGATTGTGCAATTATTGACTGTGTTCACACTTTGTGACTTGCTAAATGGTTACAGTGTTGCAGTCTGGTCAGTGTAGAGAAGTTTGAGGAAATGCTTCCTCCTGGCTGCAGCAGAATGATGAAGTCTAAAGACGACTTTTTAATAATAAAAGGTACAACTTTTTTTAAAATTATATTACTATCATATTTTGTGAAATGTCAGATATTTAAGAATGGACTCAAAGTTGCTGGAAGGTCCACTTTAATAGGTATTATTAGGTATTTCTAACAAGTAGACAAACATACAGAATACTAACTTTTACCAAATCAATTATGTATAAATATGCTCCGCCAATTGCATATACGAACATTAGGGATTTAAAGCGATAATAAAGTTTCAGATTTAAAAAATAACAAACATGTCATACTTACCACCTCTGTGCAACGGTTTTGCAAAGAGCAGCCCTGATCCTCCTCTCAAGTCCCCCACCAATGCTTCTGGCTCCTGTCCCCCACCCCCAAGTACCCCCTTAGCAAGCTGCTTACTCTGGGGGCACTCATGCGTGCTCGCTCCCAAGCCACAAAGCGTGGCTCTGCCGCACCCCCCACTCCCTCCTCACTGTTTGTGATCGATAGCCAAAGTCTCCTGCTGCTGTGTCTCAGCCAATGAGGAGGGAAAGACCCAGGAGAGCCACTGCTCTCATGTACATCACTGGATCTAGATTGGGCTCAGGTAAGCATTGGGAGTACTGAGGGGGGAGCTGCACACTGAAGGTTTTTTACTTTCATGCATAGAATGCATGCAGTTCTAAAACCTTCAGCCTTTAGAACCACCTTAATTAACATGCCTACATTTATTGTCATGCCAGTTAGCAATTAGCATCCAGAAACCTATGCTTCCAAATTCTAATTTCCAATCAGGCAAGAAGGAGCAGCTGAATATTTTAATCATGTGGTTTGCCAGCAAATCGTGTCGCAGTTACTAGAACGCTACACTCATTACATTCAGATGGTTTAATTCCTGTGACAGCAGCAATTATACTGCATCTCAAATTTATTCCAGACATTTGCACAGCTTATTCCACTCACTTAGCCAGACACCAAAAATTCCAATACGAGGTGTCAGAGAATAAAACATTAATAATACAGGAATGCTGTAATTACAGCAAGCTGGCAGGTGACCTTTTCATATTCTGCAGCATACATGGTTTCTGTGTTTTAATGAAGCTGACTGAAGCATCTGACATTGTAAAATGTGACATACTCCACAATATGTCCTGCTGCACTGTAAATACACGAATGGTCGAGCATCTATACACTACTCTATCACACAAAAATGACATATTTCCCACTAGAGGGCGACTAATAACTGTTTATTACTTATCGTGACATGTTCAGAGCAGCACAGCTAGTTTAGAAAGGCCCATTTGCAACACATTATAAATATTTAATGCACCGCTGTGTATTTTTAAGCGCTCTTCTTGCGTTTCTGATTGATGTATTAAGGTAGAGATGCACTGTTGTGTAGATATATGCACACACTTGTATGGTCTGTTTAACATGTGTTTCACATGTGGTACCATTCACCCCATAGAAGGTGTGCTTTCTGGAGACTACAAGTAAATGATAGCAAACAAAGTACTAATAAAAAATTGCCTTTGAAAATAATGCTACCTAACTTTCCAAGCACTTTTGATGCTGTGTTAGGTGCAGTTATCCACATCTAAAAAGCATAGGTAGTAATGCTCCTCTAAAAAATCTGAAATGTCTTAGCATTATAGAAGAAGAGCAGTGGTAGTCAACTTATTTGAACAGGGGACCTCATGTGCGGCAAAAGGACCGCATAGGAAATGGAAAGAGACTGTGGGCACGCTACAGGAGATGGTCAAAGACTGCAAACCTGCTAAAGATGTGGTTGTGGACTGCAGACATGTTGCAGGAAACTGCCAGAGACTGGACACACGTTACAAGAGACCGCTAGAGATCACGGCCATTACACATCCTTCAAAAATCACCAGCAACTAGCAATTCCAAGCAATCACCTAGAGAAAGAAAACTGTGACTACTGACTGTTGATACCAGATGGTCGCACAATACATTGGTTGTGAGGGAGTAAAGAGTCGGCATATACCTTGAACTGGTGGCAGAGATGGCTGGATTATCATTTTTACTTTAAAATGCTGTGCTATAAAAGCCAAATATAGCTATAAGTGATTTTTTTTTTTAATGTGTCCAGAATGCTTCTGGGGAATTATATCTCTTAAGGACTATGAACCAAGATCTCTCCTCAGTTGTTGATGATCCACAAGACAGAGCACTGCATCTTTCCTCTAATTTACTTAATTAGCAATTAACTGCTTATTACTAACAGAATATGGAGGCTGCCATTGCTGACCACCTTTTGAAAATTTTTGTTGCCTGGCTGTTGAGCTAAATCAATAGCTATAGATAGTAATAAGTTACTTATTAGGAACCAGTGCTGGGTCAAGGTCATCCAGTGCCTGGGAAAAAAATGGCAAATTGCGCACCACCCTTTCCTTCCTGGGGTGAAAATGGGGATGGGGCTAATAGCAGCACGCACAGCGCTCTACGCCGCAATGTTTGCAGGAAGGGAGGGGGGGTGAAGGGCTTTAAGTCGGTAAGTAGCTCTTGGGGGGTTCTGAGGAGGAGGGGGAGAGTGTGGGGCTGAGTTGTCCCCCACCTTCCATATACTCACTCAGTTCAGACTTCCTTCTTAGTGCAGCACCCACCAGGAATAAAGGCAGCTTCTCCTTCTTCCCATCCCTGGTCATGTGGTATGTCACATGACAAGGAAAGAACGGTAGAAGGGTAGTCTGCCCTCACTTCGCCGCAGTGGCCTTCTGAGAAGAATGTGCATTCTCAGTAAGCACCCACTCTCGTCTGCCCACAGCCAGATGCTATTGGAGGGAGGAGAAAGCAGAATCCTTCCCCCTGCTCCTTCTGATATGAGTGAAGCTGCAGTCATTCCTGTCAACGAGGAGCAGGAGAATGGAGCGGCCAAAGCTTCCAGTGTGCCCCTTCTGCCCTCATCTTGTCCCAGCCCTGATGGGAACAAGTAGGCAGATCAAGACCTCTGACTTCACATGCTGCATGTTCAAGGTCTGAAGGAGCAAGGCAACTAGCATTTTAGGAGGTAGTCAACAACAGCAACATCCTTTATGTTTTGCTAAATACAGGTTTAATTTACCATATCCAATTTAAAAAGATGGACAAAACTGCAACCATTAAGGATTTAGCTTTTATCCACTATGATTTACATCATTGGATCTGGCTGCTGTGAATACCTCCTCAACTTTTCTTCACTCTATGTTTCGTTAATCAGGCCCATTTAATAACCTTTACATTCAATTGTCTCAAAAGTGGTAAAACAGAAGCATGTTAAAAGACATTGGCATAGACTGCAAGACAACATTTTTATAAACAACATATGCACTATAACAATATACATTTTAGATCCAATTTTTTTGAGCATATTCAGATTAAAGTCTTAGACCAATTATACAGTAATTCCTAAGGTGCACTGCATTAAGTACTAAAGAAAGCAAAGCACATGACAGGTGTGGATAGCATTGGTGTCATACCTTGCAAGCTACTAAGACGTTTTTGCTGCTCTGTGATAAAAAAGCAGAGAAAATGTGTAAGACAAGTGTGTATTAAAACCATGCATAGCAAATCTGAGATCTATGAAACAATCAGAGATCACTGTGACATTAGAGAGCAATACTGTCTGTGAAGGACACACCAAGAAAAGTGAGTGGCAGAATCAAAAGGATAAAGAAGAAAAACATCCCAAAAGCAGCACTGGCAATAAAAGCAACAGGTATCAAAGCTGAACTCCAGCCAAAACAGCTAACAAAATAAAAACAGTGATGTAATCCTCCTGCCCAGTCTGTTAACTAGATAATGAAGAAGTAGAGGTCATCTGTGTGCTCCTCCATTCCAGTAAGCATGTTCCTTCAGTGGGATTGACAGTGCTCAGCTACAAAATAGGGTCTAATTGGCTGACACAGCCATCCCTTCCTCTCTCAGCCGAAGTGCTGCTGTGCAGGTATTACAGGAAGCAAACATAAAGACAGAGGCAGGTACTTATACCAGCTGTATTTTAAAATACATTTAGTTATTTTTTAGCGAATACATAACTACATTGGATATCTGCATGGAGTTCAGCTTTATAGAGATACTGAGAACAGTGCACTAAGATACTGTAAAAAAGTTCAACAATGAAATTGTAAATTGTATTAAAAAATAACTGTCTGCAATATTAGGAAGATGTCTTAGACAGTGAGCAAACTAATTATACAGTGAAAGTTCAGGCAATTCAACCCTAATTAACAACATAGTCTCATAATAACATTGTCAAATCGAATGATGAATTAAATATATCCACACAACAACAGTCACGGTAAAGAAGAAGAATTTAAAAGAATTTTGCCTAATGAAGAGGAAGGTATGCTGATGACACACAAGGGAAGATTTACTAAAACTGGTGTACTCAGAATCTGGTGCAACTGTGCATGGTAGCCAATCAGCTTCTAACTTCAGCTTTTGCAGTTACGTTTTGACAATAAAGCCTGGAATTTGATTGGTTTCTATCTAGAGCTGCACCAGATGTTGCACCATTCAGTTTTGGTGAATGCCCACATAGTTTTGTGTAAAACAATCTTGAGGCTGGACAGCACTCAAGGAACCTCACTCTAAAAACTATTTTGTATATTAGTTTTTGAAAACTGCGATAATCCAATTTATAACTTTCTATATTATGAATCCCACTAAGGAGTCACCTTTTCAAGTGCTCTCTATGAGGACATTTCCAATTAATTCATGTCAGGACGGGAAGTGATGGGAAATCTCTTGAATGTGGAGACACACACTATCTATCTATCTATCTATCTATCTCTATCTATCTATCTATCTGAGATTGGATAGAGTTTCTGAAAACATTTTTATGGTTTTCTGAACTTTCAGCTCCCCAAAATGTTTGTATGGGCCTCACAGGGACATCTCCCCAATATGTCACAACTATAGCTGACCAAAAATCTAATTCTTCCTCACTTTATTAAAAAACTAACCAACATAGGATTTACTTAGGTTTTGACCACAAGAAAAATGTAGACCCCCTTATTCCTATAAGCTACAGGCTACTACCCATTGCTGAGGAGGATTCCACGGTTTGGAGGAGCAAAAAGAGGCACTTTTAGCTCATTGGTCCTGAGGGGCCTGGGCAGGAAGGTGAGGGGGCACCCCTGTCACTGTAGATTCACACTCAGTTTGGAGCACCTGCATGAAGATTTGTTGTGTTTCACTTATTAGGACACTCAAGGACTTAGTATTGTTAATGTTACTGGGAGTGACCACAGTACTATATTCTGATAAGGGATAAGATATATTATTGGATTAGCATATATTATATGTTCTCTTGTAGCGCTGCACTGTTTTATGTTTTTCATTCTCTGACTGTGTTTGGTGCCTGGGTTGTGGCACTTAAGTGCTGGCTGCTTAGCATCTTAACCTTATAATAGCGCAGGGGGTACTACATATCAATACCCAAAACACCCTTGCCATGATCCATCACTGGCCGGCTCTAACATATACAGATCTTCTGCACGAGAGCCAAACTTTAAAAGCATTATGGGAAAAATACAAGAGAATGTCCATGCACACATGGCACAATGTGTAGGTTAAAATGATTAAAATATATGTACAGATCTGGGTGGTCAGGTGAACTCAGCTTTCCAGTGAGACCTTAGATCTGCTGTTCAATTGTTTGAGCACTACATGAAAAGATTATCACATAGAATGCTCTGCTGATATTATTGTTTATGTCATTAATATGAGCATAAGCAAGTTTATTCAGTCATAAGAATAAGAAATTATCCCATTGCTAAAATGGTTACATTGTTTACCTGTTCCTGTAGGCTACTTCCCCTTTTTACTGTCTTGCTGAATATGCAAGTCAATATTTAATATTAATAAATACAAAATCTCTTCCTTCTACTCCCAGATCTCTTGGTAACTGTACAATATGCCAACTCTGGTTTCCTAGCCGGTAAACACACATTGAATAATAAACCACTATACTGGACTGTAGTATATTTAAGATCAAAGATGGAAAAATGATGAGCTGCAGACTAGTCCAGCTGACACAATCTACGTAGCTGCTACAGTTAGTCCAATGCAATACACAAACATACACTGGGCACTATACAGTATTTGCTCTGAACCAGCAGCATACAGCCCTGTGATTATGCCATTGCTGAGGTCAGCATAATCTGAAATCAGGAGCTGTGACATTCCATGGGTTCTTGTGTAGTAAGTGGGCAGAGAGGTCAACTAACAATTACATGTTGTATGGAAAAGTAATTATAGCCTGTGCTATATAATCCACTATAATTGTGAATACATCATTTAGCTGGAAGCATAATTCTGCAGGCAGAAATATTTATCACATATTTGATATTCATATTTCACACCCGTCAGAAGTCGGCCAATTAACAGGATACACCGAAGACATTATTTATTCAAAAGACACTATTAATGCTGACCAAATGCTTCATAGAAATCTCTGATAGTAAAACTTAAAGTGAACCTGTGCCCAGTCTATGCACACTATTTACATATTCTAAACAAATAGTAAAAGCACTTTAAAATAAGTCCTCAGTCACCTCTGTAGCTTTAGATATTGTGGAAAATTTAATCTTCCAAAATTTCTGTTACTTTTCATTACTGCAGAATCTTGACAGCCTGAAAGCCCCTCTAATGCAAACATAAATGTGTTTCTCAGTTGTTAAAAATGGCCAGAAACCAGAATTTAAAGTCTTTGTTTTTACCTTTACGGATTTTTGAGAATGAAATACTTCACAGTATAGGCAACTAGAGAGGTCAGGGATAGATTTTATATACATGCTCCAAATTGGAGACTCGCAAAACTATAGAGTTAGGACCACAGTATACAGTGGAGCCTTGGCGAGGCACTGTGGCTTTCATTTTGCATATATGTGTGAAACTAAAACCTCTGATTTAACACAAAACTGTTAGACAGGCAGGGGCGTATTTGCCGCGAGGCAAACTAGGCATTTGCCTAGGGCGGCCCTTTTCAGGGGGGCGGCACGGCGGCAGTGCCGCCCCCTTTCCCACGGAAGGGACACTTCCATAGGAAAGGGACAGGGGCAGGGCCGCCATGGCTGAGGGACCGGTGAAGCAGCAAGATCTGTCCCCCCCAACGCATCTGCGCATGTCACCAGCTGCAGAGGAGAGCGGAGTGGTGGGCGGATCCCCGGTGTGCGCTTGGAGGGGCGGGGCCCACTGTAAGTGCCGAGATTTGCAGGAAGGCCTGAAGGAGGAAGCAGAAGGTCAGGGGGGTGGAGCAGTAAAGAAGAAGGAGCCTACTGAGCATGCTCCGAATTGCATTACCGCTCCCTTCACCTCCTACATCCAACTCTGCTCTCCAAGCCTCATTTTGATGAACAGGCACATGCTGGGCTCTACTTCCTGGTCCTATAGACAGAGTTTTTGCTGGACGGCTGGATGTCCCACCTGGATCTTATTACACCACACGATGAGCCTTTTCAACTATTTATCTTGTAAGTGTAATTTGTTTACTAATAAATTGTCAATACTGCACTTAGAATAAATCATTTGGGAAGTATAAAAAATATTTCTACCTCCCAGGTCACTTTTTCCTTTGTTTAGATATTCCTGCTTTAAGCCCTGATTCACATTGATGCAGTGCAGAAATGGCAGCGATGCCTGTGCATTTCCCACACCACATCGGAATCACACTTTGTTCTGTAATATGCTGCAGGTGTCAATGGAAAGCGAACGACATCCCAAAAGCAGGATGCAAATGCAGTGTATAAACACCCATACAATCCCATTCCAGTGTGAATAAAAAAAAAAAGCTGCCCACACCTTTTTGATGCACATGTGGTGCGATTTGAGCCATCCAAAATGAACGGGCTCAAATTGCACCACACAGAATCGCATGTTGATTTGCACTGGAATGTGATTTGATTCCTGTGTGGTTCACATGCAGTTCAAAGTGTGAACCTAGGCTAAAGCACGTTTAGGCACAATTAGCCATATTTAGGCACAATTACATGATTTTAGACATGTTTAGAGTTTTTAATCAGATCTGGGACACACATTATTTTATTTATTCTAAACGAAGCTAAACTGACTGCACCAAAATCCAGATAAATGCTCAGTGTGAATGGCACATTGAAAAATAATTACCTGCACGTATATGCATTTTAAAAACAAGGCCTCTAAATGCATAAAAAAGCAGGTTTGACAATGCCAGTGTGAAAAAGACCTTAGATGGATCAGGCGTTATGAAGAAAAACTTGCAGTTCTAGATGGAGCAGGTGTTACACAGAGAATGTTTTATGGTATGCGGACCTTGAAAATTCTTACATTGTGCTATCAAAAAGGATCTAGTAAGGCGCACTGGGAAAATCATCTCAGTAGCTGCAGAAGGTTGGCAGTTTGCTTATTCCCATATTCTACAAACCGCTTCAAACTTACCTCGATTATGCTGCAAAAGTACTATGGTAGGATTTACTGTGGTAGTGGATGGGTACACAGAGGGTTTGCTTGCTGATACAAATGAGTAAGGTTTATCATTGCTTACAATGGGAGCTGGAATCTCATCAGGCACAGGCTCCTAAAAACAAAGCACAATGGGTTTATTCACATCACAGCTGCAAAAGAGGAAAACAACATCATTAAAATGAATGACAAAAGCAGAACATTGCCCTCCTAACAGATCTACAGATCGGTATCATATTGTTACAGCTCATTTAGTGATACACTCCACTCAATTAGAGCCTCTACCTAACAAGTGGAAATAGTGACAGGATCTCTTTAACAGCAAGTATTCAGACATGCAAACCCATGCAGTATCAAATGAAACTGGATCACTTGTCTTGACTGGGATGAGCAGAAAAATAAGCTTTGCATCATCACGCTGGACATAGACAACGAGACGCCTGCAGAGCCACTTCAACTATGAAAAACAGGTGTGCTAATATCCAGAGAGAGGAAGACACTCAGAATGCCATTACACACATTGCTTAGTTTGTTTATTTACCATCCCATATAATGGTTAGATGTCTCACACACACCATTATATGATAGTCCAAATGATAAAGACAAAACAATATCCAATAATACCACAACACCAGCTACAACGAACATCCAAGAGACAAAACAACAGCTTAATCCACACTTTACATGCATTAATATAAGAGTAAAAATGGTTAGTCATGCTTTGTTGCAGAAGGCAGGAATCGACCTGTTGGGTTTAGTAAGCTAGAAAGAAGAAGTTTCACGTTGTCAGTAAATAGTGAGGGTATTGGCAGCTTACTGTGGGTAAGATGGCGTCACTGCTATCAAGTTTCGAGACTCTGAGTGAGTCGTCCGATGGCACCAGTGAAGGTGGTGGAGAGCAAGGTGGTAGATTGTTTGGAATAGAATAATTGGGAGAGTTGGGTCTATGGTGTGATCCCTTTTGCAGATGAGGGGGAATAAAATCATCAAGTGTCGGAAAAGCCAAGTTAGAGGTGACAAGTTCTGGGGAGGCTGAGAGTTTGCCAGCAGGTACAAGAGGTGGCGGTGGAGTGCTCGAAGTGCCTTCTTGCTCTCTTTCAACTTTAACCTGGATGAGTGGGACTATTATAACCTCAGGCTGAGCTGTGTCTGCAGTGGCATCCTGTGGGAAATAAGGTGATGTTACGCAGGACGAACATTTAAACACACGTGTGCAGCTGTGTTATGACACGCAGTTGCATGTCAAGAAAAAAAAAAACAAAGTGCTGCAATTGCTTGGAAAGAGATGGCACAGTGATACATAAAGCACAGTTTTAACAGACATATAAAGAAAATGCTAATAATTTAAAAATCAGCCAAAATCAATACCACCTTTCTAGCAAATTTGGCATTTTTCTACTGGACTATTAGGTCAACTAATTTTGACTAATCATTTTGCCCCTTTATACTTCTACAAACTCTTGAATATGTCCATTGGAATGTGCTTACATTTTTGCATGTTGGTATAGGGAAACGAGCTACAGACATAAAATGCTGTGTCTGTTTGAGCATTACTTTCAAAACTTTTAATAGCTGTATATGGCTCCAAGTGCTTTCCCCTTTATAAAAAACAATTTGACCATTTCTCACTTGGTACAGTTGAGACATCAAGAGCCCATTCTGGCACAATAAACAGGTAGCTACTATTTACAAAATTGATTGTGTCATTTCCTAGTCTTATCACATCAAATTTGTCAAAAAGGTGACTTGCAATAAAAACATGTTAGAAAGAAAGTGCAAAATGATGAACAGCCTCTATACCTGTACAGTTCTGCCAGAATGAATAAAGATTCTTTAATTGGACAATGAATACAGAAAAATATAGCTATAACATTACCAAGACAAAAGTAAAAGTGCTACATAATAAAGTGCTATAGAATAGAAAGGGTGTCAGATTACTCAGGAGTGGAACAGACAGTACTTCAGCAACATGTTAAAAGAAACAATAAGCACAAGGGTTAGTGATGAACACAATGGAAAGTAAAATAAAGTATATGAAAACAAGTACCATGCCACGGAATCTCTGTGCCCTGGGGGCTTGTTTTTGCTTTGATGGAAAGAAGGGCTCCTTTGCAGTCATGTTGACTCGGCCAGCAGGATGCTGTGTATCTGGCTCTGTACGTCCCATATCTTGATGTAGAGGGCATTGACTCCAGAAAGTATCTATTTCACAGCAGCTAATAGAATCTTTACTTGGGACAGGGTCAAAGAATGGCCTTGGAGGGATGGGAGGTGGGGATTTTCCGGTGTCTATTATCGAAGGAACAATGTTTGTGGCTGGTGATTTAGTTACATCAGCTCCCAATTCAGCACCCTCGGTTTTATCATGTGCAGCGCCGGTGGGATTTTCAGATGCAGCTGAGCCAGTGTTGTTAGATAAACAAGCTACATATAGACTGCTGACCTTTTTATCGGCTTTGGGCTCATGACTCAAATTCATTCCAGCAACGCTTCTTTCAGCACTGCTAGACTCACTAGCCTGGTGTTTAGGTGATGTGCTGGATTGCAAAGAACTATCAGCATGCTCTGTTTCAGAGTGAATGGGAGACACCAGGATGGTTGTGTGATCTCCAGAGATGCCCAGGGTAACAGTGGGAGTACACATGGTAGAGTAGCGTGGGGTGCTAGCAACATGCGGTGTGTAAGGCTTTGGAGCACTTAGGTAAAGCCCATCCAGGATGGGCACTGGTTTCAAGTAAGACAGTTTGGTGTTAGTATGTGGGCGCCATGCAAAGCTCTCCTCCTTAGGAGGAGGGGGAATTGGAGGAGGTACCAATTTCTACATGGTTCATGAACACAAAATGTAGGAAAAGGAGAAAAGAAAGAAATGGTCAAAAAGGTTAATGAGTAACACAGAAAAAAACAGGTGTTTGAAAAGTTGCAACATTAATATGGAAATGAGGTCTTCATTCAATGAACTGGTGCTTCTTGGAAAGGATTTTTATGGGTTAGGGAGGATATAATGTCATGAATTTCATATAAAGAAATAGGTAAAGAATGTAAGAAGATGAATATTATGTATACCACAGTTAAAGGATGTAAAAACAAATATATTTAAAAAGGTACCTAAATGCAAGATATTTTTAATATTTACTTTTCATTTTTTAATGCATCAGTAGAAAACAACAAGCCTACAAAAATCAGGTTATACTTTAGGCAAGTAAACCCTTCCTGTTGGCCATCAACAGCAGTAATACCAAGTGACAGGTACAGGGATATGACAAGGTTCTTTTTGCATTTCCCTAATGCTCACGTCTAGTACAATTTAGATAGAGTACAAAGACTGCTTATTGAGAGCTTGGATACACAGGCAGCATAATCAAAACATCCTACCATAAATCCTGAAACATGTACAGTATAAATATACATCCTATGCTTAATGTAAAGAAGAATACAAGTAAAATGGGTGCCTCCACAGGGAGCTGTCATCTGTAACCCCTGATGAAGTCCTCCCGGCTAACTTTTGCTGAGTAGGGAAAGGTTAACTCCTTAATGCCACCTCCATGAGGTTCTTTATGTGGGAATTTCCTTGCTACTAAATATTCTGTGAAATTTCCTTGCTACTAAATATTCCACGGTCAACTGTTAATGGTATTATAACAAAATGGAAACAACTGGGAACAACAGCAACTCACCCATGAACATGTTGGCCATATAAAATGACAGCATGGGGTCAGCGAATGCTGAAGCACACAGTGCACAGAAGTCAACAACCATCTGAAGAGTCCATAGCTAAAGACCTTCCGAACTTTATGTGGCCTTCAGATTAGCACAACAACAGTGCATAGAGAGCTTCATGGAATGAGTTTCTATGGCTGAGCAGCTGCATCCAAGTTTTACATCACTAAGTGCAATGCACAGTGTCAGATGCAGTAGTGTAAAGCATGCCACCACTGGACTCTAGAGCAGTGGAGACATGTTCTCTGGAGTGACTAATCACCTTTGTCTGTCTGGCAATCCGATGGATGTGTCTGGGTTTGGCGGTTGCCAGGAGAACAGTACTTGCCTGACTGCAATGTGCCAAGTGTAAAGTTTGGTGGAGGGGGGATTATGGTGTGGGGTTGTTTTTCAGGGGTTGGTCTTGGCCCCTTGGTTCCAATGAAGGGAACTCTTAAGGTGTCAGCATACCAAGACATTTTGGACAATTTCATACTCCCAACTTTGTGGGAACAGTTTGGGGATGGCCCTTTCCTGTTCTAACATGACTGTGCACCAGTGCACAAAGCAAGGTCCATAAAGACATGGATGAGCGAGTCTGGGGTGGAGGAACTTGACTGTCTACACAGAGTCTTGACCTCAACCTGATAGAACACCTTTGGGATGAATTACAGTGGAGACATTAGTGCCTGACCTCACAGATGTGCCTCTGGAAGAAAGGTCAAACATTCCCATAGACACATTCCTAAACCTTGTGGACAGCCTTCCCAGAAGAGCTGAAGCAGTTATAGCTGCAAAGAGTGGGCCAACTCAATATTGAACCCTATGGACTAAGAATGGGATGCCATTAAAGTTGTGTATGTTATGTGCATGTAAAGGCAGGGTTTCCAATACTTTTGGAAATATAGTGTATGTTTTACGTGGTTGGTAAGAGGATCAAATACATTAAAAGCTTTCTACTCAATATATTTATTTTTTGAGACAAAAAATTTTGTATTTTTCCTCACTTTGTCCTGACCACAATGACTATCCAGAAAAGCAGAGAATGCAAATAACCCTTGCAATTAAAAATGGACAATAAGAACCTTTCAGAAGCTCTAACCCTTCCCCACAGTGATGCAGTCTCTCTTTATAAACAACTAATAATAATATCTTATAATATTATAATGATGTTATTATATAATAATTATATTATAATATTACATAATAATCTCTTGGGCATCCTTTATAACAACTAGGTCAATGGGCCTTAACTGGGCCATGGTGGCTAGAGGTTCAAAGAGCTTGAAGTGGTTCTTATTGCACATGTTAAAAACTGGATGGTGCTTGTTCCCTTTATAAGACAACCATTTCATTGTGTATTGCAAAAATCTGCCAATGCGGGTGAGCAGGTCTCTCATTGCCCATCATTCATGGTTTGTGTTTGATTACCCTTAGGCTACCCATAGTATTCAAACCAATAAAATATATTTCCCAGAAGAGTGACGTTATACCAGCTTATAGCAATGTGCCAGGATTCAGAGTCAACAAACTCAATATGTTTCATATATCTTTCTCCTGATTTTTTTATATTTAGAGCTTGAAATAAATTACATATTTTAAAGGGGGGTTTATGCAGCTTCTTGTCACAAGACTATAAAAATAGTGCTAAGGAGAGATGTGACAAGATTTTTACTGGGGCATAGCATGGACCCATCTGAAAGTTGCTGACACCGATCCCTTAAAACATCTGGGAAAAAGCAAACATTTAAACTCTTATTTTGTTAATTCATATTATAAGGTGATAATGCAGTAGAAAAATCATGATCTTGCATAGTATATAATCTTGAATGTTGATGTGTTTTGCACACAGGATCTCCATCTATAGTAGCTAGTGCTAAAATAACTGAACATGCAGAAGTTAACTGCAGAAAACCAAAGATCTTGAATATCAAAGCAATTGGCCATTATTTAAGCAAAGTGCCTTTTCAACAGCTGCAAAAAGAAATGCATTAAATACAATTTTATAACTCCCCTTGGCCTGCAACAAACAATACTGCAAAAAAAATAATGACATGTAAATACATGTATTTAAAAGCATTCAAGTCATACAGAATACACCAGCATCTAATTTAAAAGTAATCTACCAACAGGCTACACTTTGCTGTGAAAATTCAGCTGAAAAGATGGCTGATCCCTTTCACTGACTCACATGTGAGTATGGTTTTGCTTTATGCTGACTATCACAAGAGTCAGTGGACAGATCCGATTCAGACAGATTTATTATTCCTGTGCTCAGGGGTTAGGACCAATGAGAAACAAATGTCAATTTGGTTTTTGAAGACTGAGATGAAGCTTTATTACTGCACTATTAGATTGTAAGCTCCCAGGAGCAGGATCCTCCTTACCCTCTTGTATTGAACTGTATTGTTGCTGTATTGTCTCCCTTTATATTGCAAAGCACTGAGCAAACTGTTGGCGCAATATAAATCCTGTATTATAATAATAATAGCAGCACTATGTGATGAGTTATTAGCAGTAATGTCAACTATTTAAACACCTTCTTCAATACAATAATGGGGAGGTAAAGCTAAGAGTCAGGAGAATATCAATAAAAGCACAAATACAATACAATGAAATAAAACAAGTCCGAGGACAGTAATACAGTACCTGAATCTTGCTTTCAGGAGGAAAATTGGGGCGGACACTCCGGAATCCTTTGGCAGCCAGAGAAGAGTGATGAGAATCCCCATTAGATTCAGCTACTGAAGGGGGTCTGTCATCTACACAGATGGAGAATAGTTTTCAAATTTGATAGTCTGTTCTAGAGATCGCTCTTCCAAAACAAAGATTTGTTGAACGTCTTCTTACCTGCTTCTTCTCCTTCAGCTGGCAAGCCGCCTTTTATTTATGCAAATGAAAAGAATAAGGTAAAGAAATCTGTTAGGCATGAAATACATCCAAAGACAAATATCACTCTATTGGGAGCTACAAGCTTTTTGCAGCCAACAGCCCCTAATGGGATTGCTAATGCTGAGTTCCATAGTAACTGGCATTACATATCATGTCCTCACTCCTTCTGACCTTTGTGGACACAAAGAAATCTTTCAGAGAAATAAAGAAAGAATTGTCCACAGAGTCTGTCAGCTTGAATGGGAAAAACACAATCAAGTGGTTGAAAGCTGTGAACATGATGTGAATCGGGTTCTGTGAACTTAAGACGTATGGAACTGCACACTACAGTTTTTCAAACCTATAATAAGCATAAAATTTCAAGTGCATGACATGACACTAATTGCAGTTTGTGATTTGCATTCACATGTACGTAGCTTTAGGAGAGATGTTCTGACAAGCTGATTGAGACATGACAGCACTAGCTGTGACAGAAAGAACAGCAGTTTTTATCATTTTTTGTAAAAATAATTCATTCTTATAAGGCATGCCTAAAGAATCCTGATGAGTGCTAATTTGTGTATTATATGTATTGCTGTTCCCTTTACTTGTTTGACCTCCCTTTACTTGGTGTGAACTCTCATCATACAGTAGAACATCCAAACTCTACCTCAGTTTGCACAGATATACAGTATTAGTATTAAGTCTGATTTACAGGCCAGTAGACCTGAATCACAAGGTTTTATTTTATATGAAAAAAATTCTAATACGATTCTCATAGCCTTTTGTAAACATTTAATGAGCAAAACTATTTGAGATAAACATGACATTGTAGGGGATCATAATCTTATGTATTTCCTTCCGAGAAATTACCTATAAGAATTTAGACAACATCCAAAGATACGGATGGCCATATACTGTACAGTCCAAAATCAACAAAATTAAGTATTGCTTCGGACAATATGATCTGATAGGTGTTAGCAATAGGATGCTAATACACACCTCCAAGCACTGAATTCACTCCATATCAAATAGAGATTTTCCCAGATTTTGGATAAAGTCAACTTCCAATCTCAGACTTCCATTTTCTTTACAGAAAAGGGAACAAGCCTTCCATTGCATAGATTTTTTTAACCACGCCAATCCAGTCAAGTCTTGATGGCCCCCAGTGCGAGCAAGAACAGGTCTACTGTGGTGAAGGATCTGCTCATTCACAGTTGGTCTACATCAGCTTTACTGATACCAATTTACACCTGCGCTTATGGTAATTAATTATCCCTTATCTTAACAGATGAACACCTAAAAAATTCAACCTAGATAATATATATATAATATATATATATATATATACACACACACACACAGTTGTGTTCAAAATAGCAGTCAGACATCAATAACCTGATCAATCACTGTTTTTGGTAGAAATTATATTTCTACATGGCAAATAATTTTCTAGCAGGTGTAGTAGAGTAATAGAAATCCAACAGACCCAACAGTCATGACATGTATGCTGCTGATTCTGTGTAATTGAATCACTAATTGAAAGGGGCATGTTCAAAATAATAGCAGTGTGGAGTTCGATTAGTGAGGTCATTCATTCTTTGAAAAACAGGTGGCAATTATTGCCCTTATTTAAGGAAGGAAGGCAGCAAATGTTGTACATGCTGGTTGCAGTGCATTTCTCTCTGAAATTCTGAGGAAAATGGGTCGTTCCAGACATTGTTCAGAAGAACAGCGTACCTTGATTAAAAAGTTGATTGGAGAGAGGGGAAAACATAAAGAAGTGCAGAAAATGATAGGTTGCTCAGCTAAAATGATCGCAAACGCTTTAAAATGGCAACCAAAACCTGAAAGACGTGGAAGAAAGTGAAAAACTACCATTCAAATGGATAGAAGAATAGCCAAAATGGCAAGGACTCAGCCAACAATCAGCTCCAGGAAGATCAAAGAAGGTGTAAAGTTCCCTGTGAGTACTGTTACAATTAGAAGACACCTATGTGAAGCCAAGCTATCTGCAAGAAGCCCCCGCAAAGTCCCACTGTTGAAAAAAAGACATGCGCTGAAGAGGTTACAGAAGAGGTTACAATTTGCCAAAGAGCACATTGACTGGCCTAAAGAGAAATGGCGCAACATTTTGTGGACTGATGAAAGTAAGATTGTTCTTTTTGGGTCTAGTGGCCGGAGACAGTTTGTCAGACGACCCCCAAACACTGAATTCAAGCCACAGTACACTGCGAAGACAGTGAAGCATGGTTCGCAAACATCATGATATGGGGATGTTTCTCATACTACGGTGTTGGGCCTATTTATCGCATAGCAGGGATCATGGATCAGTTTGAATACATCAGAATACTTGAAGAGGTCATGCTGCCTTATGCTGAAGAGGAAATGCCCTTGAAATGGGTGTTCCAACAAGACAACGACCCCAAACACACCAGTAAATGTGCAACATCTTGGTTCCAGACCAACAAGATTGATGTTATGGAGTGGCCAGCCCAAACCCCGGATCTTAATCCAATAGAAAACTTGTGGGGTGACATCAAAAATGCAGTTTCTGAGGCAAAACCAAGAAATAGAGAAGAACTGTGGAATGTAGTCCAATCATACTGGGCTGGAATACCTGTTCACAGGTGCCAGAAGTTGGTTGACTCCATGCAACACAGATGTACAGCAGTTCTCAGAAACAGTGCTTATACAACTAAATATTAATTGATTCAAAGGAAAGCAAAATCTTCAAACATTTTTCAGTTTATATAGTGAATGTTTGAGTTTGTAAAGCAGAATACAAACACTGCTATTTTTTTGAACAGTCTAATATTCACTTTTTTTAGAGAAACAACACAAATTTGATATATTTTTCTGCATGTTTTGATTTGGAATAGTATGTGTAGTGTTCCCAATGCATTTGTGTGTATGGAAATAAAAGCTATTAGAAGGATTTTGAGCTTTATTAACTTTTTTCAACACACTGCTATTATTTTGAACACAACTATATATATATATATATATCTATCAGGTGCAGCGCTGGTAAACAATCATATTTTCCCTGTGCACAACCACATAACCATTATAAATGTGCACAAACCAATATGATTAAAACTTGCAGTATGTTATTGTGCATACATAATTATAGTCCATACATCACAGTGCATATTGTGATCATATCCAATAAATCAAAGTGCAAAAAAAAAAAAAAAAGTGTCCAAAGTCAATGTGACATATACTCTTCTTTTGCACTAAAAGTGATCCTTTAACATGTGTTATTTTCACTAATCACAAAGTAACAAGTCCTATTGTGCAACTCCTCCTTCGTGCTATTCAAACCCCTCAGTGTAAATCACTCACCACAATTTCTGACTGCTTAAATTAATAAGTGGGTCTGCATTTGCTTTTTCAACTCCGAATCCATCCGTTATTTAAAGCTTCTATCCTCTGCCCCTCGTCTGCTATACCATCCAGGGATCTTCCTCAAACTCGAGGACAACGTCCAGAGCAGAAGAAATGTGTTGACCGGGGCTTTACATCCGTGATGTTACTTCTGCCAAGTAGAGAACACTATCATAGTCTAACAGGATGTAGAATTTACAGCAGCGTTCATTGTCAATCAGTGGAGTGTCCATTCCAGTGTCAAGATAGGAACATTTTAATATAACTGTGCACTTTGTTGTGAATGTTTGGTGGGGTTATAAAAAAGGGTGTTACACAATTGTTGGGCTCTTCTTGTTTTATGTCCCTCATGGTGGAGATGGAGGAGGAGGATCTCTGGATGGTATAGCAAACAAGGGGCAGAGAAGAAAAGCTTTGAATAACTGATGGATTTGGAGTTGAAAAAGCATATGCAAACCCACCTACTAATTTAAGGGGTCAGCAATCTGGTGGGTTATTTACACTGAGGGGGTTGAATAGCATGGATGAGGAGGTGCACCATAGTACTTGTCACTTTGTGAATGGTGAAAATAACATGTTTTATAGGACTTTATTATTGCACAACTTTACATTGACTGTGAACACTTTTTGACCCTATTTTTCGTGCACTTTGATTCGATTCATGGGATTTGATAATATGCACTGTGACATATGGAGTTTGTCAGCTTTAGTCTAAAATGTAAAGCTGATCTAGAGTAAAAGTCTACACAATTAAGTTCTATACCATTTTAGAAAAGGTGGTCATTCGCAGTAACAATGTCCACAGATATTAGGAAGATTGTCTCTGGATGTAGGCATTCTTAAAGAAACAGATTAAATAGTTTGAATACCACCATTACGGGCACCAGTACACTCCCTGCCCAACACAGGATAGCTCACACCACTAACACGCTACCATTATGTTATATCGTTAGCCGGCTTAAGATGTATAAAGACTAGTCTACTGACTTAAAGCTACACTAAAACTAGTTTGGAAAAAAAAAACCTATTCAAGTATGTATTCTATTCTTAACTCAAAAAGTACCTTCTACTGCTCTCAGACTGCTCCAAATTCCTTATTTTTTTTTGTTTGCTGCTGTAATCTGACCTCCTGTTTAAGGGAGGCTATGTTTGTTCTCTATGTATATATGCATACACTGTATGTAGGATAGTAGCCACCCTCTCTTTCTTGTTTCCAAGATTGACTTTGAGATTTTAAGCGTACATAGGGCAGATGACCGCAACATGTTTTAACATAAGGGTCAACTAATTTTACCACATTATTATTATTATGCAGTATTTATATACATGCTCACCATATCATTGAATTTAATGCTAACATAAACCAATTTACAAAGAATTAACATTCTTAAATACACTGCTAATTTCTGCCTACTATAGATAAGTGAAGTGAACTTCTGCACCTACTATATAATATAAATAAACAAACTAATAAGTGCTGCTGCTGACATCAATTGTGTTCCCAGAATATCAATTAAATCAATTAATTAATTAAAGGTGATGCTAATGAACATCAAGCAGTACTAATAAACAATACAGGTGAAAAAATTGTGCTCATAATCATATTGTGAATAAATGACCAA